TAGCTGCCTGCTTCTTAACCTGGTTAAAGCACCAAAATGTCATTCTCCAACGTTCACACCGTGTGTCTGCACCTCCTTAAGTTTGGATCGAGTGGAGTCGATGGACAATAAATTGAGGCCTAGGAAGAGTTGGTCGATTAGGACATGGATCAACTGGAGCAAGAATGTCGACGGAAAGTGGTTGCCTAGGTTGCCAAGGGAGATGTTCGACCTAGGCCCGTGGAGGAAGGAAACATCAGTCGGGCCGCTCCTGTAAGTAATCCCCGGTTGACTTGTTCACATAATAGGGTTTTTTTAATTGGTAAATGGCAAATTTTGGGGATATTGAAATTGTCGGTGCACGCGTGTTATTGAACCTCGGACCAGTATGCTTGAAGTGTGAAATATGTGTATGAAACTCCGATTAAGATATTTTGTGTGGGGTCTTCAAATGTTAAGGTAAGCCAACACTAAGGAAATTTGTGCAGGGGTTTTATAACCGATAAAGGGATTGGATTTCATGCAAATGCAAAACAAGTCAACATAGAACCACGCGATTCATTTGAATGGAAAACAGATGAGAGCAGGGCTGAGGGTTCAACTATTGAGTGAGATACTGAAGATTAGAGGAAAGCGATCAATCAGATACAAGGAGAAGGATACAGAGGTTGGAGAATGCTACGTGTTTTTTTATGAAGGAACAAGGTGGACGAATATATCAAAAAACTGGTCCTTCATAAAAAAACACGTAGTTGTGACCATTAACACATGTAACTCCTGTAGTTATGGGCATTAATCACCCTTTCGACGTGGGAGTAAAGGGGGCTGTGGCACACTCTATATAAGCTGCCATGCTCCTCCTAAGCAAGGGTTAAGCACTCTTTGTAATCATACCCCCCAAGGGAATACAAGCCTCAGGGCACGAGACGTAGGGCTGTTACCTCCTCTGAGAGGGGCCTGAACTCGTAAACACCAAGTGTTACATTTGCGCCGTGGCTAGACTCCGCCCCTCTTTCGTACCCCTAGTACTCATTGTCAGGATCATACCCCAACAGCTGGGGCCTATCGTGGGGCTGCGTTCTAGCGATTTTACGACGTAGGTGGAATTTTATCATCATCATGTTAGTCTGCGGTGAGATCCGTTTCGGAGCGCTCAGCTTCATCGCCGACAACTCAGCATGGCTCTGAGAGGCCCCGTTGGACGTGGAGGCACTGCCCATCTGTGCCGCAGCGCACTTCCACGCATCTTCATACAGGGTCCTTCTCCGACAGCCATCGGTCCCGTACCGAGTGGCTCCCCTCCTTCCTGCTGGACACCGTTGCAAGCGCTCCAGGCGCTCATGGCTGCAGCGTTGGATCAAGCACGCCATGGCCCTTCAAACCGTGACCGGGCATGTGGCGGCTCTCAAGTCTGATGAGCCTGCCCTTGACCTTTCTGACGAAGTCCACGAGGACTCCACTGATGAGTGCGAGTGTGAGAGTGTTGAGTCCACGACCGAGGTCCTCATGGCCGACAACGCGGAGCATCACAGACCCCCGGGGTATACAGGCCCCTTGAATGGCTGCGTAGGCACTTCACGCGGGCACGCCAACGACGGTGAGGGAGATGACCGTTCACCCTGCCATGAGCTGTACATTCCCCAAGCTCTCACTCGGGAGCAGCATGAGGAGTTCTGTCGGAAGAGTGAACATGCCTTGCACACTCCCATCACTGGGACGACTCCCGAGACTCTTGCCATGGAGTCGGTGCACTTGGCCACTCTGGCTGAGCGAGACCGCCTCGAGCGGCTACAGAAGGAGCTGGATGACCGTGCCAACCATCAGCCTAGTTCCAATCGGCACAAACGCCGACTGTTCCTGAGTGACCAACCTCAAAAATATCGGATGCTCAACACCCCATTGCAAAACCTGGCGGCGGCTGCCTATTCCGTCCAAGCCTCTGGCTCTATGGTCGGGGAAGGGATTCGTCAGATCCAAGCGCTCTTGAAGATGGCGCTGTCGCAGAAGGCGACATTGTCAAAGTCCAGAGATCACATCCGCCATGCAGTAGGCCCACAGTCCACTCAGCTCGGGAAGGTGCCGGCCGCCACCCTCCTCGAGAGATCAGTATGGAGACCGGAGGCGAGACCGGGTCGTTTTCCCCAGATGACACGAGGATACGATCGCACTCAGATGCCCCCTCTACGGGATGTCTCATACGGGCACCAACCCTATAATGACCGACATCCACGTCAAGACGATCGATGACCAAGCCCTCCGCACCATATGAAGGACCTCCAAGACCCGCAGTTCAATGCAAGATCCATTCTCGCTCAGAATCTGGTCGACAGTGGCCGAGCCCTAGGAGAGGGCCTTGACACTAATGTCTCGAGTGGATCTGTTTCCTTTGGCCCCGAGTGCTTTAGCCGATACATTCGAGCTGCAGACATCCCCAACAACTTAAGGTTAGCAACGAGAATCAGCAAATTCACTAGCGAGTCGAAGCCAGAGATTTGGTTGGAGGACTACCGAGTGGCAGTCCAGATCGGTGGCGGCAACGACAACGTGGCCATGAAACATTTGATGCAGATGTTTGAGGGATCCGCTTGGGCGTGGTTCAACCAGCTCCCACCTGGCAACATATACTGCTGGGACGACCTGGCCTGGGTCTTGGTACCTTCGAGGGAACATGCAAGCGACCGGGTGGTCTGACAGAGTTACAACATTGCGTCCGAAAGCAGAACGGAACTTTCCAGGAGTATATTCGACGGTGGACCCTACATAACACGGTGGAAAATGTCACCGAGCACCAAGCGATTTGCGCCTTCAAGGAAGGCGTCAGATACCATGAGTTGACCCTGAAGTTCAGCCGAACTGAGATCCTGACTCTCAGTCGGGCGATGGAGATAGCGAGCCAGTACTCCAAAGGCGAAGAGGATGACCGACTGACAAGCGACAAAGGCCAAGCCGGAGACGTAAACTAGTTGGATGGAAACAAGGGTAAGAAGCACAAGCGGAAAGCCGAGGCGACTGGGAATGCTAAGGTTGCAACTATGGCCAGCCAAAGCAAAGGCAAAAGCCAGATAAATCAGAAGAAGGAATGGGCAGACAAGAAGAAGGTCGCTCTGAAGAGGGACATCCTCGACCATCTGAGGCACCCCGGCTCAGAGCAACCGCTTTACCTTGCATTTCCATCCCAGGGATCATGTCTTCTAGCAATACACAACAACTTGGTATAGAAAAACAACTGCTTTACTGATCTCTTGCGGAAGCATAGGTTTGATGATACATCATACAATGAGGCCAAGCGGCGCACACGGTGTTGCTACACTTATGTACATTATTTCGTAGACATAACATGGGCCTTGGCGACAATGGTGCAACTACATGGCAGCCGAACAACATCGTAGAGGGACTCCATCTCACAAGGACACTGCTGGGACATGTCCTAGACTGCGGTGATCGATTCGATTCCGACTCCTGGTATGGCTT